GCAGGCCGGGGGTGGGGGGTGGGGGGCGCGGCTCCCGGAGGCTCTTATCTCTCCACCAACAAAAGCCATTCTCTGCTGAATAGGTCACCCAGCATCTTGCTGAGTAGGTAGCAGCTGGATGCCCCATGGATGAACCATTGTCTCCCTGATGGTTTGCTTTTAATTCAAGTCCACTGATTCCATCTAGGTCGAGAATGGGAGAGGCAGACTGGGAGAGGCAGACGCACAGATAGCTAGCTAAGTGCAGGGACTAGAGAATGAGGCAGCAACGGTTCTGGAAGGGGAGGCAGGAGATGGGCAATTCTGATAGAGTAAATGCCGCAGGGAGTGCGGGGTGGTGTGTGTACTAAATGGAGTTTCTGGAACTACTGCCCTCCGTGCAACCATGTGTGAGACTTCAGAGAGGCTGGGGCCAGAGAGGGACCCAGCAGGGCCATCCCCCTCTTTCTCCTGCTCCACCTGCCTCTCCGCAGCAGACTTTTGGGATGGGGTTCCTGCTCAACCACCTCAATTCCTGGACAGGGACTGCAGTGATGACTTTTCTGGCACCTCTGTGTTTTCAATAACTCTGGGCCTCTTGAGAGCTGGTCACAAACACCAACTGCTGGCCTTTTAAAAACTTGGGGTCTTGGATTGTGTCGAGGCGGATGTCCTGGTTGTGATGTCGTGTTAACATGTAGCAAGATGTTACTCCTGGGGGACACTGGGTGGAGAGTCTGAGGATCTCTTACAACTGCATGTGAACCTACAGTTACCTCAAAGTAAAAAGTTAAAAACGTAGGGTCTTCTAAATCCTACAAGCTCCAGAGGAGTTCTGTATTTGAATTTTCAAGGAGCAACTTATTTTTGCGTCCAGCACCTTGCTAATATCCTATAAATATAGAAATAGGGTACTAAAAGCACTCAGGACAATAAAGAGGAATGGAGGGCTGACCTGCTCCAATGTGGATGAACGTTGAGAACATGATGCTGAGTGAAAGAAGCCAGACACTGAAGACCACATACTGTGTGATTCCGTTTACATGAATGTCCAGACAGGGCAGATCTATGCTAGCAAATCAGTGGTTGCCTGGGACGGGGAGCAGCAAGCTTAGGAGGGAATGGGGAAGGACTGCAGATGGGTATGGGGTCTCGCTTTGGGGTGATGTTCCACAATTAGATTGTGGCTGTGGTTACACGAGTCTCTGACTAGCTCAAACACCGTTGCATCGTACAGTGTAAGTGGGTGAATTGTGTAGTATGTGAATTACATTTCAGTAACACTGTTAAAAAAAAAATGGGGGTCTTTTGACAGTTTTAAGAGAAGTAATAATAGTTCTTTGGAAGTAGCTGGTGTCTTCTAGATGCAGGCATTTCCGGACCCTGGGGTTGTGACTCCTCGATTCAGGCCACTGTCCCGGGCCATGTTCTTGACTCCCTCATCGACCAGATTCACGGGCCTACCACTGAAACCACAGCATGTTTCCGAGTGTTCATCCCTGGGGAATGAAAACTCGGTGTGTGCCAGACATTTTGCCAGGTGCTTTCATACACGCTTTCTTAAACCTCCGACAGCCCTCACCATGTTTTATGCGTGAAGAAATAGAGTTCCCAAAGAGTATACACAGCCGGGCAGAACTTCAGCAAGAACCAGCTTGCTGACCCCAGGGTCCTTCTCTTCCCTGCCTGGTGGAAGGAAGGCTGGGTTGATGAGCTTTCTCTCACCTATTACATAAGGGGAAAAAGTCAGCTGCACGGCAGGAGCCAGGCTCTTGCAGGGACAGATAAGCTTAGGAAAATCACCAGAGGAAAGGCCTGCAAGTTCTGGGCAAATCCTTTGCAGGCTTGTGTCTTCAGTGGGGAATCTCTTCTCCCTCCGGAAGTGAGGATGACATTCTGCCCTGTTCCCTGGAGCAGCTTTTCCCCAGAGAGCGCTCCTATGGAAAGAGGACTGTGGGAAAACACGAGGAGGCCTTTCGTGGCCACGTTTCTTGAGTGTCATTAGTTCTTAGCGGAAACATGTGGATTTCCCTGGAGCCCTCAGCTTTGTCTGCGTCTTGAATTTGCAAGAGTTTGTCACTCTAGGAGCTGTTTTTGGAAATGGAGGGAAGCCATCGTATTACAGCCACAGGGAACCTGATATTTTTTTTTGTAAGTGATCATGCTGGTGGGTCATACAACAGGACCCTCATGGTAAAATGGGCAGGAGTGAATTCAGGTGGTCGGAGAAGTAAGTGGGAAAAGATTTGCACTCAGTTAGTGATGTTCAGAGTGGTCCAAGGCAGACATATCGGCTCCAAGAGAGATTATTAAAAATGCAAGTTCTCAGGTTTCAGCGCAGACCTACGGAATCTGAAACTGGGGATGATGTCTAGGAACCTGTGTTTTCATAAGCTCTCAAGAGAATTCTTAAACACACTCAAGTTTGAGTAGCTTAGCACCAGATGACCTTACATATACTTGTGGCAGAGCAGAAAAATCTGGTCACGTTCCCAGGAGAGCACCTCCTTCTGGGCTCCTCCTGTGCAGATCTTGCTGGGAGGAATGCGAGCTGGAAGGGAGCATTCATTCATTGATCGAAAACGTTTATCGAGCACTTCCTCTTTCCAAGCATTTAATCCCTGTGCTGAGGGAGTTTACGTCCTAGTGGGGAGTCAGATAGCAAATGAGAGGAACGGGGGGCAGAAGGTACTGCAGTTGGGGATGCGACACTGGGATAGTGACAAGGAGGCGGGGATGCCAAAGTAAAGAGCCAAGGGAATGGGTTTCCAGAGAGAGAGAGAGAGAGAGAGAGAACTGCTGGTACGAAGGCCTGGAGGTGGGGAGGAGTCAGGCAGGTCAAGGTATGAGGACTGGGGGCTGATGGTGGTGAGCAGGGCCAGGGGTGGGGAGTACATGGTGAGGTGAGACCCGATCTGCAGGATCAAGGGAGGGGATTTGAATTTGACTCTTAGGGTGGTGGCCAGCTACGGAGGGATTCATCAGCAGAGTGGTGGGACCTGGGGCAAGATTTAAGAAGATCCGTCTGGTTGCTTATGCAGGCTGGTGTGGTGGAATGGGTGATGAAGCCAGGGACATGACTACGGAGATTCTGTGATGGCCACAGAGTCATATTTTCTTCTCCTCTTCCTCTCCCCTCTCCCACTCCCCCTTCTTCTTCCCGTGTGTGTGTGTGTGTGTGTGTGTGTGTGTGTGTGTGTGTGTGTGTGTTGGGGGAGGGAGGACACAATTTAAGAAAATCGGAATTGTTTTGTCAGGGTTTCTATGTTAGCATTTTACAGATGGAACCGACTTGCTTTACAAGTGCACGTCCTCGTTGCTTTCACTAGAGAAATACTCTTATGTGTTACAATACCAGTGGTGCGTGGACCCATTTAGTTACATATACTGTTACTTATTTAAAAAGAGTACATTTCATCAAAAGAAATTTCACCTTAGAGGTCCACATTTTGGAGACCTATAAAACCAAGCTCAGTTTATTGTTCAGCATCTGCAAGATTTGAGCCATTTCGGAAATTTGAGCTCACTAGCGTTCCTGGGCTGGCATTTTCTTAGCTGAGAACTGCTTACCTTGGTGTCGACAACCTAATATTTTATTTAGAAGAATGATTCATTGCTTTAGGTGTCTGGAGTCCTGGGTTTTATCTTCTCTGTTGGCGTAAGTTTGGTTTGACCTTGGAAAAGTCTTTTCACTTCATATTTTAGTGCCTCTGTGCAGAAGATGGGGAGTAATCGTTCTGGCAAACCTCTTTTGTCATCAGGGTAACTGGGCGAGAGCTCTCTGAGACATAGAGATACAGTACCTCTGCAAAGGCCCTGGGGCAGGAGGGAGCAGGAACTGAAAGACAGCCCACGTGGTTGGAGAGCAGAGTGCAAGGTGGGAGATAATCCAGAGTGATCTTGTAGATTGTAGAGGTCGGCAAGGGCCAAGCTGGGCACTCTTGTGGACCTTGTTGGAGACTCCATTCTTTATCTTTTTTTTTTTTTTTAAGATTTTATTTATCTGACAGAGAGAGCACGCGAGAGAGCAGGAACACAAGTAGGGGCAGTGGGAGAGGGAGAAGCAGACTCCCGTTGAGCAGGGAGCCCGATGCAGGGCTCAATCCCAGGACCCCCGGGATCATGACCTGAGCCAAAAGCAGACACTTAGCAACTGAGCCACCCAGGCGCCCCTTGATTCTTTATCTTAAGGGCAAGGGGAGACTGTTGGAAGATTTAAATAGGCGAATAACAAAAGATCGGTAGATATGCTGATTTATTCAATCCTCTTAAGAAATGTGTGTGGCAGTTCACATCCCCATTTTAAACCACTCCAGAAACAGGGTGGTGGAGATTAAGCCGCTTACCCTAGAGCACGTTGCTGGTAGGTGGTGGAGCCAGGAGACCAACTCAGGTCAGCCGGAGTCCAAAGTCCCCTGTCCTCCATCTCAGCCTAACCCAGTAACAATATAACAATAACCACCATTTTAAAAGACGCTTTGAACTCTTAAGAAGAAAGATCTCCCTTAAATTACAAAGTGGTATTATGCGGCAGAAATATGAGCGGTGCGGAGAGATTGGATATGCCGGGAACTTTTCACAGCCCCAGTCTGCGTGGCTGTGGTCCAGCATCTTCAAGTTCCTTGCTGTCTGGTGGGGTGTCTTACTGGCAGCTATCAACACATGGGAAGGGTTGGCAGCTCCGGCCGGCCATTTGACACTGCCATTGTCCGTAAGGACTCGGTGTCCATGAAATGTGCCCGAGGTACGTGCTTTCAGGGCCTTTTGAGCTGGGCGATCAGATCTGGGCAGTGCGTGTGTGGTTTCACCGGAGTGATCACACCGTGCCAAGTTTCTGCTTTCTGCTTTCTTCCTCTTGGGGAGTCCGCTGGTTTCAGTGGATTCTTAGAAGCTGGTTACAGAGATCACTGTCTTGATTTTGAACCCAAGGAGCCTTGTTCAAGGTTGCAGTGGGAAAACGGCTGCTGACCCCTGGCCCTTGAAATTTCTGTTGGTGACGACCAGTGTCTCTTCTTTCCTAGTTGACCATGTCGTGCCCGAGCCCGGGACAAGCCTGCTGGCAGCCTTCGACCAATGGAGGGAATGGGCTGACAGCAAGTCCTGCTGTGACTACTCTCTGCACGTGGACATCACTGAGTGGCATAAGGGCATCCAAGAGGAGATGGAGGCCCTGGTGAAGGACCACGGTAGGTTGTGCTGACCAAACGGCCCTGGGGATATTCCCAGTTCAGTGCACGAGCCAGCACAGCTCTGTGAAGGAAAGCTCTGTGAATCGCGCTTGCACATCCCTTCTGTGCCTCACCTCCATGCCTGCCAGGAGAGAGGGTCGAACTGCAGCTGGTGCCCATTGGAGGTGACCAAACCCAGTGCAGCAGTAGAAGCTTTCGTGGACATGAGAACCCAAGCCTCGCCACGGGGACCGGTTCCTATGTAACAACGGCTCACAGCTTACTGGTTTGAAGGAACTGCACCCAGCCGGGTTGCAGAGTTGAGGCCGAGAATGCTTATCCCAGTGAGGATTCTGGGCAGTCATAGGTGGGGGCCGGTGCCCAGGACGCTGAATGGGGGACTCAGGCAAGCTCTTTGTACAAACCCATAAGAACCAGGATAGATTTGAGGGTGAGGAGGCTCTGGGACAACCTGAAGAACCTTTTTCCTTCCTTCCTTCCTTCCTCCTTCCTCATCCCTCCTTCCTTCCTTCCTTCCTTCCTTCCTTCCTTCCTCCTTTCTTCCTTCCTCCCTTTCTTCCTTAAGGTTTATTTATTTTTTAAGATTTATTTATTTTGGAGAGAGAGTAGGAGAGGAGGGGCAGAAGGAGATGGAGAATCTCAAACAGAGTCCCCACTGAGCACAGAGCCCAAAGTGGCTCGACCCTGAGATCATGACCTGAGCCAAAACCAAGACTCAGACACTTAACCAACTGAGCCACCCAGCTGCTCCGGGTCTTTTTTATTCCATAGGACTATTTTAGGGAGTAGGGTTCCAGAGGTTGGGCCCTGAAAGATTCCTGGGGAGGCTGGAGGAATCTGGACTACCTTAAGGTACCTCCGGGATCGTTTTGTCCACAGGAACCTTGGGAGTTGAGGTGGTATCGCTGAGTCCCATCATCTTCTGGGGTCCTCTTGAGCTTGGCTATAGACTAGACTCCTAGGGTGACATGTTGACCTCATTGGATCTTAACTGTCAGGGAAGCACCTATTGCTTTCAGGTTCTAAGACTTCTGAGCTCAGAAGTACCATGAGTTGTGAGTAAAATAGCAGGAGGGAAATCTCTAGGCATGGGTATGGTAGGTATCCACAGATATGGCAGAAAATGCCCAGAATGAAAGTCTGGAGTCTTATGACGTTGGGGAATTAGTTAAATTTTATGAGTCTGAATTAAAACAAAAACATCTCTCACATGAGGGTTTTGGACTAGATATCCTAAGATTCTGGTACAAAGGTCCCACCTAAAAGAAAACCGGTAACCCTTAACCTTTCTTACTTTTGAGAATACTGAGGCTCAAGGGGGTTTACTTTCCATACTGAAAGTGAATCGACTTCAAATCAGCCAGGAGGGTTACCATAGCAGCTGTTGCCTGGCAGGAGAGAAGGCTGGGATGTGCCGAGCCATTGAACCTGGGGCAGCGTCCAGCACCCCCAGGTGGCTTGAATTAAGCTGCAGGGCTAGAAGGTTGTTAGTACAGTTGTTTACCATCGTGATGGATATGGGGCAGGGATGTTTGGTCTGGTGCCTTGGGTGACAAGGACTCTGAAATGCCAGGGTGAGAATTGCGACATCAGCTTGTTTGACCCTTTCTTACTTAAAAAGGTTTCTTAAAAATCAGCTTGGCGTGCAGTCTGTTTACCAAAGAAAAGACATTTATTATAGATCTTCATCCACCGAATCTTCTAATTCGTTGTCTTCTTAAAGTCACAACAGTCGAGGGCAACTTTTGTTTTTATTTTTTTAATTTTTTAGATTGTGGTAAAATACAGCATAACATAAAATTTACCATCTTAGTCATTTTTAAATGTACAGGTCAGTGACATCAAGTACATCTACATTGTTGTGCCATCATCACATCATCCATCCCCAGAACTTTTAATCTTTCCAAACTGAAACGCCATACCCATTAAACACGAACCCCCCGTCTCCCCATCCCTTACCTCCTCCAGCCCCTGTAGCCCCCATTCTACTTTCTGTCTCTATAAGTTTGACATATTAATGGAATCCTACATATCTGTCCTTTAGTGACTGGCATACTTCCCTTAGCATCATGTCCTCAGGGTTCATCCATGTGGCAGGATTTCCTTCCTGCTTAAGGCTGAATAATATTCTGTCGTATGGCTGTATGACATTTCGTGTATCCAGTCATCTGTCCGTGGACACCCTTGCCCTTTGGCTATTGTGAATAACACTGCTGTGTATTTGGATGGGTATACAATATGGGCAACTTGAAATTTTGATAACCTTAGAGAAGAACTGTCAGGGTACTAAAAAGAACTTTTGCACCCTATTCCCAGTTTTTTTTTTTTTTTTTTTACACCAATTCTTTATATTTTACCCCATTTGCTTTATCCTTCTTTCTCTTTCTCCACCTCTGTCTCTGTGTCTCTCTCTTGTTCTTCTCTCTGTCTCTCTCTCTATACACATATACATTGTATCATACCGTTCTTATTTGCTTCCAGATTATTTGGTTTATTTATGAAAGTCACGTCTCCACCTCTCTATTTTGTCTGTCCACCAGGGGTAAATTCCTTCCTCGTGTATATGGCTTTCAAGGATCGCTTCCAGCTAACTGATTCCCAGGTAAGAAAAGTTGGCTTTTCTGCACAAGCTCGCTGGTATTTGGTACATCGGGGCCAATGCTGTTGTCTTGGAAGCTGCCCTTAGCTTCCTGGGAAATGGCTGGTGGATGAGGGCCCTGGCGTAACTTTACCCTTAGGGAGGGTATGACCCCAGTGCCCTGGCCCCCCTGGATTGGTGTTCCACCAGGCTCTGGAGTCAGCCTCGGAGCTGCCTCTGTGGGACAGCATGGCCCAGGGGTGTCCTCAGAGCCTGCTCGGCAAACCTGCTGCAGGCCCGAGTGTCCTCCATGAGCCTCCCCTACTCCACGTCCTTTAGGTTATGCTGCCTCTTGATTCTCGAGTGGTCCTGCTCTGCCCCGGGTGACCAGAAGCCTTGACCTTGGGGCATGTCAAGAGAGCTGGCCTCAGTAGCCGCGGGTGCTGTTTCTGACCCTGGTGGCCAGCAGGGGAGTGGCTGTACTCGGGGACGAATGGGGAGATGGACCTCCCTATCTCTGCTCTTCCTCCTCAGATCTATGAAGTCCTGAGCGTGATCCGGGATATCGGGGCGATCGCGCAAGTCCACGCAGAAAACGGTGACATCATTGCAGAGGTACGGCGCTTTGCTCTTCGAGGTGTCTTCATGACCTGCAGGGCGAGAGGTGGGCTCAGCGAAGGGATGCCGCTCTGTAGCTCAGCTGCAAGGAGGAAAAGCAGGGTGACCTGGTGCCCCTGTCCTGTCCTGGGGCATGGGGCTGGTGGCAGTCTCACCAGCAGCGTGGATGTTGGTGACCTGCACCTCCCTGGGTTCCGCGAGATACTCAGCCTGTTCCCTTTCCGCAGAGGAGTCATTTCCCTCGGTGCAGGGACACAGACACTGTGACCCAGGGCTGGGCGCATGTGGGCTTTCAGCATCCCGGGGCAAGAGTTGAACTCATGTGGGAGCTCAGGCAGGACTGGGGACAGGGTAGTGGACCCTTCTTCTATTCCCGAGGTCCGGGGATGAGGGCTGGGCGGTCAGGTCAGCAAGGCCGTTTTTATATCTTGCCCGAGTGACTTTTGGGTAAAAGATCTCTAGCCATTTTCAGTCCAGCTCTCCCTGATGGCGTGGCTTTCTTCAAACCTTGCAGGAACAGCAGAGGATCCTGGATCTGGGCATCACGGGCCCCGAGGGACATGTGCTGAGCCGGCCTGAGGAGGTGAACATCTATCAGATGGAACGCGTCATTCGGTGTCCCTTGGGTGCTACTGGTGCCACATAGAGCCCACTTCCTGTCGAGACTGGGGCTTCTCAGGATCTGAATTTGGGCCTTCTGAGAAGTCACAGGTTACTTGTGTGGGTGTCTACGTAGGCAAAGTGAAGTCCTCGCCTGAGCTGGGGAGGACAGCCGTCAGGGTTCTTTAGCCTGGAGGCTCTCCTTCGTGTCTCTGATTCTCCACGCCCTTCTTTGGGCAGATACGGACAGCTTTTTATTAACATCCTGCAGCGTGGGTTTCGTGGTTCATAACATGGGTCCCTCCAAAATCTCACCATCACCGAGACATAGTCACAGGGATCTAAAAGCTCTTCTAAATTGCTAAAAAGCATAAGAGGAATTGTAAGTTTTTCCGTGGTAAGTCTGCGTGGGGTATCAGTCGAGAGTAGCAGACAAACTTCCAGACCCGGGAGGGATCATTGAGATCCGGAGCATAGGCTGAGGGTCACTGTCTTGGATGGTGAGCCTTGTAAGACAGAAGGGAGGTACTCGTATCTTACGTGCTGGGGAATCTGTTTTTCTAAACTTAGAACCTGTGACCTTTTCGGAAATTGGCTGCTTGATGAAAGGTTCCAGGTCAGACTTTTGAGGGCCTGGCGTCCCTGAGCAAAGAGAATGCTGGAAATGAACAGACTTTTCTCCTTACAGGAAAGAAGTGACAGGCAGAGAAGGGCAGATAAAGTCCTCAAGCAACTGGATGTTGGCTTAACAGTAGGATGTTTCCTGGTGGAAGCAGGGGGAGGGAGATGCTTGATCAGAGGAGTATGAATGGGACTGGTGCCCCCAAAGCACAGAACTTGAGAATGGGGAGGTTCCCTCCGGCTCTGGGAAGTGTTCACTTTAGGAGCCATGGTATAGGGGGCACCTGCTCTCCCTAAGAAGAAAATAGATTCGCAAGGGTTTGAGACCAAAGGTGCCATTAATAAACTTGTCCGGGTTGGGGTGGGAGGGCAGGGTCTTCGCAGCCTTTTTCCTCTCACTTTGGGGGAGAAGTGAGGCTGGAAAAAGCGAAGGGGGAGGCACTTGGAATGTCCCGTCCCCACTGAGGATTTGCACTTCCTGTCTTGCCCTTCTGGCTGCACGCACACACACACACACAGACTGACAGAGACAGACAGACAGATCCACAGACACACACACGCCAGGGCACCTTCGGCACCATCTGTGGCCCCGAGGACACTCCCCTCTCGTCAGTTGAAGGACGGAAGCTATGACATTTTCAGTACTGTCCGGTCTGTCTTTGGGGTGTAGGTAGTTCCTCTGACACCATCCAAGCTTCCACGCACACTAGAAAGCCGGAGGGAGGAGCCGGAGCCAGCACACAGGCGAGGGAGGTTGAAGGTGGCATCTTTTCCCCCGTGTTAGAGCTGCATGCTGTCACTGGGGCTGGCGGACAGGGATTTGGGGAGGAGCTTATCGGAGAGAGAGGGCGAGCGTCTCAGTAGCTGATGCTCAGAGTACCTGAGGTTGGCTTTGTACACTCGTGTGTACATAGAACATGCACACACACAAATGTATGCGTGTACGCGTGTGCAGTCATGTACACATGTGTACACGCGCACATTGTAATGCTCGCACTTGCACGTTTGCATGCGTGTGTGCTCGTGCGCACGCGGACACACATTCGGGAGCCCCAGCTCACGGTAAAGCCGGTGGGCCCTGGTGACCAGGTGATGACACCTGGCTTAGGAAGTTTGCTCTCACCTTCATCCAGTTGTTCCAGCTGTGCAGGTGGGCAAGAATGTGTTGCCCTCTGAGAAAATCCAGTGCACTTAGCTTGTTTCATGAGGCTACTTATGAGAGCCAAACTCTTGTTGAACTTGTAAGAGCCTTCCTGGGGGCTTGCTTTCCTCTCTCCTGTCTGCCCTGCATCCCCAGACCCCTGCAGGCTTGAACACAGAACGCAGGCCCGGGGTTTACGGAACGGGCAAAAGCTATCAGAGGAGAGTTGCTATTTTGACCACAAAAGTCAAACCCATTGCTCCATGATTAGACACAGGAGGTTTCTCTTGTAGCAGTTGTTGCATGGAGAATTTCGGGGTCCCCAGCCATGGATTATGAGGCCTTTGGGGGCTGGCAGATCTGGAGTGCTTTAATTTGAGGAGATCTTGGCTTTTGGGGAGGGTCCTCTTGTCTCACGAAAGGCTGTCTTGGGTGCTTTCTGGGGTCACCTGCTTCTTAGGTGATGCAGAGGCACCTGCTCCCTGTCAGCCCCAATATTGGGTGCTTCCCCTGAGCAGGTGCACCCTTACGACAGCCCCATGAACCGCCAGGCGTGAGCCGGCGCCTTCTCCCTCAGTTCCTGGTGGTGATTTTTCTGTTCGTCACTGGGGATCTGTTGTGTGTTAAACCCTCTGTGGACAATAAAGAGAAGAAAGCAGGAACTCGAGCTGGACAGGGCAGTGAGGGAGAGCCCGCCCGTACACCGGCAACAGCAGTTAAGAACATAACAAACACATCAGACAGACGGAGGCAGAGTGTCTTCATCTGTCAACGCATCGTGGTGGTGAACTTGGCTTGAGCTGCACAAAACGTGCTCCTGCCCCTCTCTGCTGTTCCCTCCAGCCCGCCGTGTGAGATCGCCAGCAGGGTTCTCCCCAGGTCCCAGCCGGGAAGATTTGAGAGGGAGACACCGCCGGGAATGCAGAAGTCTAGAAGCCACCTGTCCGCCAGTGGCGCCCCGCACGTGTGATGCCTGGGCCCTGCTGGGACAGCGAGATGCATGAGGAAGGGCTGGAGGATGAGTTGGAGAGGAAGAGACGGGGGGCAGGTTGCTAGGGAGGGCAGAAAGTGACAGGGGCTCTGGGCCAAAAGACTGGCATCTGGGAAGAAAGTTGGGGACGTGGTGATGAGGGTGAGGGTGACAAAGAATCTCTCCCAGAGAAGGGAACTTTCCAGCTGGGCCTTGGGGGAGCTGCAGCTGGGGTATGCAGACAGTGGGGGCTGGGCGTGAAAGGGTGTATTGTGTACAGACGCTATTGTGTATTCTGATTCTCTTGTGTACTCACACTGTTGTGTGTTCCTAGACAAGTGGCTTTTCCCTCTGGATCTTGGGGTGCCCGATCTTAAAAATCAGCAAGGCTAGATGACCCCCCAAATCCTTGATAACTCTATAATGAGGCAGACAAATTTTTTTTTTTTTAATTTTTGAGCTGTAAAACGAGTTTCATAATATTTTAAGTCGGTATTATTTAAAGCCGTTCACTGTGTGTAAGGGGCATGCACAGGTACGCACAGAAGGGTACTCCTTGTGGATCTTTCCACAGTTCTGGGTGGAACCCAGAGACTTGGGGTTTAAGTGACCTTCTCTTTCCATGAGAGATCCTTGGAGTTAGGCCTGTGCCCTCACCCGGGCGTGTGCTGGGTCCGGGGAGGGGTCACAGCTCACCTCACAGCGGATGAGCGAATCCACACACAGCCCCGGATGCCAGGCCTGCAGGGGCAGGGCCCCCCATAGAACCGGCACTTTCGCTCCATTTACTTCCTCATTAGCCTGATTTCACATTCCAGTTCACCCAGGACAGTCCCAGTTCACACCCATTGCTCCCATGCAGTTATTAATAGTGCCTCTGTTCACTTTCGGAGGTTGGTGTTGGGCCAATTAATCGGGTAGTCATTGGCGCCCCCGGGAAGCCGTGAGGCTTCTAGAGGAGTCCTTTCCATGCTTTCCACTTTGGACTCTTGAAGTGACCGCAGAGATTCAGGCCATCCCTCCACTGTGCTGCTCTGGGCTGGAGACACTTCTATTGTAACTGGAGTCAAGGAGAGGGAGGGCCGATGGCTCAGCTATTCCAGGAATTAAAAACATTTGGATGTTTAATAAGCTTTTTCAAGAGCCATTTGGTTTGCCTTTGAATTTTGAGACCTCTCTCTTCACGTAGTTGATGCCCGAAAGGGCCAACGTGAATGAAGTTGTCTTCGTTTATTAAATTAGATTACCAGTTAATGCAATTATAGAACTTCAGCTCTCTGCCAAGCTCCTGTAGAAACTTGGTTAGCTAAGATAATTCAGTTAGGAACTCAGCTATGTCTTATGAAAAGTAGCAGCTCTGTATGGAACAGCCTCGCTTTAACCATTAACATACAATAAAGTATTTTATTTGCTCGGTAAACATTTTGGGGGGGCGACTGCTGTGTACTACGCTGGGAACTCTTGGGGGTGGGGCACAGGAGATAGAAAAAATCTGAGTCGAACCCAGCCCCTTGCCACCAGGAGTTGAAGAAGCCACACCTTCTGCCAGGATTTGGGGAGGGAGCAGAAAGCCTTTTGAGATCCATCATTCTACCATTTCACGTGTTCTGCAGTTGCCCATTCTAACACACATGTATCTATAGGGTATACCTTGATCTCGGTAGTCTTACCTGGTCAGGTAGTTAGCAGTAATCACTTGGGGTCTTTGGAATATTATTCGTTGAAGCATCAGGTTTAAAGAATCATATTATTAATTGGAGCAGCTCTCCCATCCTGCACTGAAGATCATACCAGCCCGTGCAACTATGGGTGTGTTTCGCATACCGAGGACCATTGCTTGACACAAATTTGCCTGCTCCATTCCTGGAGCCCTGTGAGGTCGCGTTGTTCCTTGGGTCCCATTTGTGGATGTCGGATAGAAGCCCAGCACAAAAATCTCATCAGTGACTTGGGGGCAATCCCTTTCCGTGCCTGGTGGGTTTTCTCATAGGAGCAAGCATAAAAATCACCTAGAGCTGTTAAGACCCACATTCTGGGTCCCATCCCCAGAGTTACTGATCTGGGAAGGGCCTGAGAATCTGCGTTTCTTATCAACTCCGGGCTGATGCTGATGGTGTCGGTCTGCAGGGCACCCTTCCAGCCACTCACAAGGTCTAGGAAGGAATTGCCCCATCATTTCCACCCATCAGTATTGAGTGACCCTGGGAAAGTCCCATCCCTCTCCTGCGGTGCCGCTCAGGGCAGAACCTTGAGGACACGGTGGGGGCCTCTCGTTCCTCTCGGCCTCCCTTGGTGGGTTGAGGGCAAAGACGGGCTCGTGGGGTGGGCACAGATTGGCCCCTGTTCTCACGTTCACGTGCTCCTCTGCAGGTCGAGGCCGAAGCCGTGAATCGCTCGATTACCATCGCCAACCAGACCAACTGCCCCCTGTACGTCACCAAGGTGATGAGCAAGAGCGCGGCCGAAGTCATCGCCCAGGCCCGGAAAAAGGGTGAGTGTTGCCTTACCGCTGTCTGACTGCAGGCAGGTTCACAAGGGAGGAAGGCTCCTTTTCCAGACCTGCATGCCAAGTGGGCTGCGTTCATCACGTTCCAGCATTAACCTAATTACCGCCAAGCAAGGCCGGGAGCTCCAGTTTCTCCTGGTTGTTCCATTGCGGCTGCCTCGTCGCTGTCTATTTAAAGCCGCACACAGCAAAGAGTAGGTGGGCAGGCACGTTTCCCTCCTGCCCCTGCTTCCGTAGAGAAGTTGGACTTAATTCGATGCAGTCTCCATAAACTAGGCACATACACAGATGGCGTCAGTCTCCATCGGCCCCAGAATTCTTCTGGGGAACATTCTATTGCAAAATGAGTCCCTGCTCCGTGGCTGGTAGTGATTTCTGCCCAGGTAAGTAAGAGAGTCTTATGGGGGCGTAGGGCAGGGGACTTTGCCCCGGGCCTCCTCATGTCTAGTTCTCCAGTGCTTGAGTCGCTCCCTGTAAGTTATACTGACTTTCGGGGCTGAGGCTGGTCCTCTGTTAGCGCTAGGGAGTCTGTTGAGAAGGTTCTTGGAAAGTAATTTACTAAGTACAGCTTCCCCTGCTGCTTCCAAAGCCTGGTCCGTGGCGTACCTTATACGTTATGAATGCGGCAGAACCCTCTTGTCATCTGCCGTTGACTGTGAGTTTGAGTCATCACACCAGCCACGTGTCCTGCGCTTGGGAGTCTAGCTCCACGGACAGCCTGATAGTGCGTAGTTTGTGAGGGTGCGCGTCCTGGCCCGATCACTTCTCTCTTGATTTCTGTCTAGCTTTCTCCTGGACTCTCTCTCACTCTCTCTCTATCCCTTTCTCTTTCTCTGTGAAGAAGGGAGCCGTTTGATCTCTATGCTTCTGTTGCTAGTTCTCCGCGGGATGTGATCTGCCTGGAGGAGGAGGACTGTAGGAGTTTCTCACTGGCGGGTGACTCGTTGTGAGACCGAGAACAGATTGCTCAATGCCCACTGAGTCAGCTTATCCCCAGAGATGATGGCTTCCAGACGGACCCAGCAGCTCCCCTTCCCCGGGCTCTTTGGAGCTCTCCTGGGGGGCCTGTATCTGGAGGCTTTCCCACGCATGGTTGCTGCCTTCCTATCTTCCTGGACACCTGCCCTCTCCTGGCAGCTAGTAGGAATTGCCTTTTTGAAATAAAGGAACATTTACTGAGGTAACGGCATCTACTCAGAATCAGCGTCGAATTGTTTTCTAGGAGATGCTGTGGATGATTACTGTTGGTGACCCTCCCTCGCCTGGGCCCTTTGTCACCTGGGCACATGGTTGCTTCAGCCCCAGCCCCCAACACCGATCACAGAACTGCTGCCTGCACGGAGCATGGGGACAGTTGGCTGGTGTCTGAAAAGGGGAAGTTAGCGGGCAGCTTTATTTATTTTAGGAACCATATGTAGCCAGATGATGATAATAAGCAAAGAGTTAAGAGTCTTACGAGGCATGGGGCGTAGGGCATTTTAACATAATTTTAATATAATTAAATGTTCCTTTTAACAGAATGGAAAACCCGAGAACCTGCTTTCTGATTCAGACTTTTCACTTGTCCACATCAGAGGGTGGAGGAGTCAAGTCTCTCACGAGACCCTGGGCCTGGCGGTTGGCGCTAGCCCTGGTCTGGGGCGCAGAGCGCTGGCCTGTGAGCCAGTCTGGCCAGCAGCGCTGGGGCTTCTCCTTCCTGTGCCTCAGTTTCCTTATTTGAAGAGGTAGAGCGGGAGTATGTTACTGTAGAGTCCAGGCCTGCTCTAATACTCTCACCTCAGTGCCTGATGATGTCCCTCTGTTGTCTTTAGGACTTTGACCCTGTGTGTGTATTGAGTAGTGAGCACTAAGAAGGGACTAGTTTGGTCTGTTTGTTCCAGAACCTTCCACGTGTGAGTCCCACGCTGCCTGCATCATGGTTCCTGGGGTGCCTTTTGCATTCCAACCATACCCCTTTAGTGTGTGAAACCCTTTGCTTTAGATGGGCCTGAGCTGCCAGAAAGGAATTTCCGGTGCATTTAGGTGCTAATGAGCAAGAATGAGAGATCCTTGCTTGCTTGTGGGCTCCTAAGGTTCATTCCATCTTGTTGGAACTTCATCACAACAACCTCGGGAGGCAGCCCAGGCAGGAATTTTTGTACTTTGGTTTACTTTGTGGCTGAGTAAACTGTAGTTCAGAGCTAATGAATGAGTGGTGGGATTGGGCTTTGATTGTCAGGTGCCTGACTTCAGGCCTGAAGATCCACATGAGTATCTGAATTGCCTTCCTGTTTTGAGATTATTTTAGTATGAGCAATGCTGGTGTCTGTTGGGGTTTAGTTTCTTTCTTTCTTTTCTTTTTAAGATTTTATTTATTTGACAGAGAGAGAAAGAGAGCGCACAAGCAGAGGGAGCAGCAAGCAGAGGGAAAAGGGGAAGCAGGCTCCTTGCCGCGCCCGATGCGGGGCTCGATCCCAGGACCCTGGGATCATGACCTGAGTCAAAGGCAGATGCTTAACTGACTGAGCCACCCAGGCGCCTCTGTTGGGGTTTAGTTTCTTAACAAACCTGGTAGAAACTGGAGCTTGTCACCCAGTAGACTTGTGTATAATACAGAAGCAAAGATTCCCAATCCACCAAGATGGAAAACGGGATAAGGTTTTATTACGCATTTCCGCTCCGGGATCAATGTCCTGGATCAAATCCCGGCTCGCGGGCACTAGCATGTGATGCCGGGCAGCTCCCTTACCATCGCTAGGTCTCATTTTCCCATCTGCAAGGGCGGGGGCTAGTGATAGTGACTCATCTTTTAGGGTGAGGATGGTGCCTCACTGACCTAATGTATGTAAAGACGTATATACTAACTACCTACCCACTGTTCTCATGATTAAAGAGTAAAGCATTGGTTAGAGGTACAGTAAGGATGCCTGCTGACCCAGGTTAGGGGTTTTCCGCTAAGGATTCCATTTCAGGTGAGGTCTTCGGGTCCCTGGTGGCACATGTTAAGGCACTGCCAACCTTCTGCTGCTGCTTTTCTTCCTCTGTAAAATGGAGAGAGAGAGTCTTCATTTATTCGGCCAACTTTTTATCATGTGATCCTGCGGGCTTTTGCGCTGGAGGCGAGACACGGTCCCAGCCCTCAGCTCCTTTACTTGTAGGGGTGGGACATTTGGATGGAGAGTCACAATGGGAAACGATCCGTGTTACCAAAGAGGTGCAAACCAGGTATGGTTAGAACACGCGGAGGAAGGGGCCACTGTTTATAGACACGCACCCCACCTGTCTCAGGGAGGTCAGGCTGCATAAAGGGACTCAACATTTCTCTACAATGGGAGCGATTGAAAGATCATGATTTTACGTCGTATTAGTGCCCGTGTGCCTCCTCACTGAGAAGCCTGCTGGTCCTAAATCCAAGACAGGAGCTATAGGCTGGTGAGGATGTGAGATGAATGTAAAGGAGAGTATTTTCTATGTGCACTTGACCCAGGGCGACCACCTGCCGTCTTCCCATCTTCTGGAGAGACTGCATTGCTCAGGCTGCCCCCTGCGCACCGTGCCTGTCAGCAGGACCGAGTACCATCAACCCCATTCTGCAGATAAGGAAATGAAGACACAGCCCAGAAAAAAATATTTGGGGCAATTTTTACTCTTCAAAAGAACTTAGGTGTTGGTTAATTTAATAGGCTCATTTCATGGAAGAGAAATTAAAATGCAGAAAGTCAGTATCTTGCCCCAGATCATCCAGCCCATAGTTCCAGATTCCTGGCCGCCTCTCTTTCCATTGAGGATCCAGTGTGGGGATTTCTCTAGAATGGACTCTCTCAGACTCTGCTTTGTCCACGAATGGAATCTAGTATGGCTCCTGGTGCCCCCCGTGTGTGAACGGTAGTGTGTTGGCAGTGCCTGATAAGCTCGTCTGACAGACAGTCTTCTCCATCCTCCTCGCCCCACCCCTGTAACCCAGATGCAGAAATGTTTAGAACATCTGGTGACTGCTGAGGCACGTTAAACCCTGGGAACCCAAACTGGAGCCAAAACTTGCTATGCCCTGTGGGTCATTCGGCGTGATGAGAAACTTGGCGTTCATGGGGCCTGCGAAGACCACCCCAACTTGGGGACGAAGCCTTAGCATTAAGCTAATGCACAGCCTAACGATCTTGACCCGAAGAGGGGCACATGGGTTGGCTTGTGACTATCATAAGATCTTACCAAAATATGGATCTGGGTTAGGGCTCTTCAGAGATACAGGGAGAGAGAGGGAGGGAGGGAGGGAGGGAGAGAGAGAGAGAGAGAGAGAGAGAGAGAGAGAGAGAGAGAGAGAAGGAGATTGGTTGGTCTTAAGGAGCCGGCTCTCGTGGTTGTGGGTGGGCAGGCCTGGAGACTCGGGAGGGTCGCTGCTGCAGCCTTGAGCCCGAGGCTGTCTAGAGGCAGACTTCCTTCCCAAGCAGTGCCCTTGCCAGGCTGGGAGGTCAGTGCCGTGTTGTGGTGTAGCCACTCTCAGGATGAGACGCTGGGGTTGGTTTCCAGCCATCTAAACTCTAAGACTACTGGAGATGTGGCTCTCTTTCAGGGCAGACATGGAAACTTTTGTGTCATTTCTGCAGCACTCGGGCTGGGAGTTTGAATCCCTGGACTCATCCTTTTCTTTCCCCGACTTTGTCCAGTGTAATTAGAAACAGCCAGCCAGTCTTGTTAGACTCAGTTTGACAGAAATGTTCTAAGGAATCAAATCTCCACGGTCAACCCAAACTTAGCCTCTTATGAGAAGTATTTGATAGGAGAATCCAGGGGTGATATTTTGAGCTTCTCTATTGCCCCAGCACGCCATGGACTGGTAGTGCTCTCTTTACTACCAGGAATAGAGGCCTTAGTGCCTTTAAATTAAATCAGATTAGAGAGGTAATTCTAGAAACCCCAGGACTGATTCAGAAAACTTTTGATTCTGTTTCACTGGAACTGCTCTTGGTTCCCAAATCTGACAGGGTTATCCATGGAGAGGCCCTCGGCTGTTGAATTCTGGCCTGGGCTCTCTGAGAGGGGAGGGAGAGTGGCTGTGTGTGTCCCTGTCCCAGTTGGTTTTTTACTGTGCTTTTGTGGCTGCCTTTTGAAATACACGTACATGGTTTCCCATTGTTTCTACCCTGGATTTGTCCTCCTGCTCTCGTTCATGGGAAATGACTTAACTGTCAGAGCCGGGAGCTGTCAAACATTTCTGAACCCCAGCCTCGCATTTATTCTTCATGAATGCACTCAGGCCCCAGGCTCGTGGTGAATAAACACCACCCCCAGGGCCTTGCAGTTCCTGGCCATCCTAGAGAGCCTGCCAGAGGCTGGCTCAGGGTCACATCCTTCAGTTTAGACTTTGCCTGGAGAAGAAAATCATGAAGGTCTGTCTAACTGCCGCCAAGAAAGAGTCAGCAGTGTGTTTAGAGGAGTGCGTAAAGGCCGTTTCAGCTTATTTCATGATTTATTATTATTATTGGTAATTCTTTCTGGCACGCAGTTGAGTGGTGTCTGTGGCCTGAGTGAAGTCCGAAAGCTCATCCACGGCTCCCTCCAGTACAGTGTTTATAAAATGGGAGAGGTGCCCTGGGAAGGGACTGGGGGGCCATTAAGACTGGAAGGCAGAGCCCCCCACTTGTGGTCCCACATTTCCCTGGAGGTGGAGGCCCCCTACAGGATGGCTGAACTCCTGCCCTGTCTTTGGGGGCTAAAGAAAAGAAATCAGTCAAAAGCCAGCAAGAATCTCTGAATCCCTTGGAATGTGAACAGGACAAAGCAGAAATGAGCCACAAGATGCCTCCCTCCTTCTCCAGGATCCCCATCTTGGCTCGGCCCTGGGCCAGGAGTCCTGCGCGGCCTCGGTCTAAGGAGGCAGGTTCTGGTCCGTGATGGCCTTGAAGCTCTGACCCAGTTCTCTGCTTTCCGGGGGCTGCAGGCTGGGTTCATCCCTTTGCGGGGAGGTGCGTGTTCCTGTGTACAGAGAGGACGGGAGCCCCCCGCCCCTAGTCTGCGTTGAATTTCACAGAGTGAGATGAAGGCCACGGTCAAGGGCACTCACACTTGTGGGATCCAGGAGGTGTTACAGGAGCCAGCTGCTCCTGCACGAAAGTTTCAGGGAGAGGATGAGCAAGAGCAAGTTACAGGAAAATCAGGAAAATGTTTATGCTTGTCCATGGATTTTTCAAAGACAGTCTAACCACTCTTATTCTCTGAGCGTTCTGCTCTCAAACCTATTCATGTCCATAGAACCAGGAAACCTTTAGGGTGGGATCCTTTGGTTCCCTAATGTCCGGCAGAGACCTCCCCTTTGTGCTCAGGTGGTATCGGGACCTCCAGACCTTGGCTGGGTCAGAAGGTGCCACTGAAAGTGCAAACCAAAAGCTGGGAGCCTGAGGTCCTGTGAGAGCCCAGGGCCCAGTGCTGGTCTGCTCGGCCATTTGCATTTATGCTGGCAGCTGCTAAGGGCTTCTCATTGTGCAGTGTTTTTCCACTTCGGGATGAGCTGGAGCCGCTTGTGCAGCCAAGCTGGCTCCTCGGACCAAATCCTGCCTGGGAGGCTTTGAGTGGGTCAGGAACTCAGGAGCCCTTCCAGGTGATTCTGAGCATTGGCCTTTGCTGGCTGGGGCCTTCCTGCCGTGTGAGGCTTTCCCCTGGGTTCTGGAACTGGCCCTCCTGCCTGGGGATTGTTACTGATTTGCTCAAGTGAGCTGCCTGCCCTGGCCTCGAACACTCCCTTGGCTGGAGAGCTACTCCTCCGTGAAATTCCTGAGGCTGGAGGGGGCAGCCGGGAGGAGCCAGCTCTAGAGCCGCAGGAGGGAGGGTGTTGTGGTGTATTATCAAGAGATAAGTCCTTAGAAGAGGCTGGGGAGAGGAGAGGAGGTGCATTCCTGACTGGAAAGTGTTTGGCCTTGAGGGCCCTGTGTTTGGAGAAGAGGGAACCCTGTGGCTGACTGCTGTGGGGGTGGGTCGGCCCTGTGTACGATGGGAGGAGGCTGGGAGGAGAGGTGCATTCCTGGTGGCCGTCAAGGCTGGAGGAGGGCAAATTCCGGCGCTGATGCCTTCGACTGACAAAGTATTACGCCTTTCCATCAGTGTGACACACATTTATTGAGTGCCTGCTGTGTGCAGGCAGACTCATTTTCTTCAGGAATTCTCCCATCAAGCGGAGAATCAGAAAATTCAAAACTGGGTGATTATTGGATTATTGGAAGGGAGGACTGGGTGAGTTGTGGATGGTGTTGGGGAAGAGATGAACTTTGATACGAAGCTGGGTAATGAAGGGCATTAGATGCTTCCTTGGGAAGTTTGTTTCAATTCTTGAAGGCAGAAGGGCTGCTTAGGAGGAGTTTATGCAAGAGAATGGCGGGGGACGATTGTCGTGGAGAATGAGCAGAGGGGTGGGGAAGAACGTGGGGAAAGCAAAAGCAAACCTGAACTCTGATTGGGAGGCTCCGCGGAATGAGCCGGGGAGAAAGGAAGAAGGCCTGATGGAGAGGAAGGAATGTGGGGGGGGGGGCCAGGGAAGAATGTATTTAGGGTGTCGAAGCACTGGCATTCCGTGGCTTTATGACTCCCGATTTTCTGGGTTGCACTGGAACAGACAGAGAGGAAGACACGATTCGAGTGAGCATCAGAGAATTGACATTCTCGGACAATGTATTAAGTTAGACTAAGCTTCTGGAAACACTGAAATCTCAGTCGCGTAACTGTGCAGGGCCCTTCGTTTCTCAGTTTTACCAAGTCGACTATACCTCGGGTGGCTCTCGGGGACAACTGCCCTCAGGTGGTGACTCCAGGATCCTGGCTGTCTCTTGGACCCACCCAGAGGGCTGTGGACGTGTTCTCAAGGCCTTCAGCCCACTGGTCTCATGTCTGACTTCCTCTCTCAGCCCAGGAGCCAGAATGGGGCAGTGCAAAAGGGTGGCAGTGGGGCAATGTTGGGAGAGCAGGGAAAGGGTTTGGTGAGCAGTGAGGTTAAGCTTGAGATGCCATGGGTCACCCCAATAATCGAGTCTAGATGGCATTTGGGACTGGGTGCTTGGATGCAGTCTGAGCAGGAGGTTGTTAGTAGACGTGGGAAGCATCAGTGTCAGAGGGGCAAGAGTGGGGCCCAATGGGGGAATCTTGGGGAGCACACACTGGATTGGTGACATTGGCCGGAGGAGGTATCTGGCTATCGGCGTCCTCACCTGCGGGAGGGGGCTGGCTCCTCCTTGGAGGAGGCGATGGTGAGAGCCCGTGGCAAGAGGCCAGGCGGGTACTGATTCGCACTGGGGTGGTTTCTTTCCCCTGCTGTATCGTGAGTATACTCAGCCTTGTCTTTCTGTTTGTCAGGAACCGTGGTGTATGGTGAGCCCATCACCGCCAGCCTGGGGACTGATGGCTCCCACTACTGGAGCAAGAACTGGGCCAAGGCCGCTGCTTTTGTCACCTCCCCACCCCTGAGCCCTGACCCGACCACTCCGGACTTTCTGAACTCCTTGCTGTCCTGGTGAGTCTTGGCGTCCTGGTCACGCCCCCCGTTCCCAGCCTCTCCCCAGACCAACTGACCTGTCAGGAAACAGCCTGGTGGGCAAAAGCAGCGTTGCACACAGAGAGACCTTTGTTCTTGAAATACAGATCGCTAAGCGGGAATGGGGGATTATCATGCTGACGTTGTTCTGTGGGGAAATTCCAGATAAAACGCAGGCCATCTTGAAAGTCAACCAGCGGCGATGAGGTATCAAAAGGGTTCCACTGTGGTGCAGCGTCACCCTGAGATAAGCTATCTCACAGAATGGATTTAGATACACAGCATTCTAATGAAGCTTCAGTACCGTGTCACTTCCTCCCGAATGTCCTGTCTCCTGAGGGGGGAGGATAGGCTATTTCAAAGACTTTCAGTGGCTCGGCAAATTAAAAAAAAAATCTGTCCAAGGATGCTTTGACGTCGAAGATGAGCTAAAAGCCGGCTGTGTGTTTTCCTTCCAGCGGAGATCTGCAGGTCACTGGCAGTGCCCATTGTACATTCAACACTGCCCAGAAGGCTGTAGGAAAGGACAACTTCACCCTGATCCCCGAAGGTACCAACGGCACCGAGGAACGAATGTCCGTCATCTGGGATAAGGCTGTGGTAAGGAGCCCGGGCCTCACTTGTGGACTGGTGTCAGCTTGCCCCCGTCTCCTCATCTCACAGTCATGGGTCTCATGGAAGCCTTGAAATGGCAGTGGAGAGAATTCTAGAAGTTGATACTTGTGTGACAATCTTGTTTTGGTTTGGGAATCTAAGACCGCTCCTTAGAGGTCATTTCTTCCTAAATATTACATATGTATTTATTATCGTTGTCCTCTGTGGATCAGGGGAGACTGAAAAAAAAGAAAACAAACCCAGAGACTCTTTAAAATAAGGACTTTTTTGATCACTCAGGAAAAAACTTTCTTAGCAACCTGGTGATGGTCTCAGTCAATCTTCCACTCTGGGAAATGGACTCAGTTTCCTTAAAACTGTCTTTTCGGGCTCTCTGGAGTTAGCCTTTCTGCCCACTGCAGGCTTCTGGCAGGCTTGTTTTGAACGTACACCGACCTTTCTGGGGTCCTCTGGGCTCTTTGATTTTCAGTGTTGTAAAACATAAAAACAAAACAGGTTCTCGGGTTCTTAGGATTTTTTTTTTTTTAGATGATGGAAGCAATATAATCCTTATTCCAAAAAGAATAAGGAAGTGAGTAAAAATCCCTCATCACACCATCTTTCAGATAACTGCAATGAACATTTTGGCAAACGTCCTGCTAGTTTTTGCCCGTGTTAGAGCACACGTGTGTGTGTGTGTGTGTGTGTGTGTGTGTGTGACACTGGCATCATCTATACTATTTTGTGGCCTGTTTTATGAAAACACCGTATCATGAAAATGTCTCCACATCCTTAAATGGACTTGAAAAACTTCGTCTTTATAGCAGAAGATTCCATCTTAATGCTGGACTATAATTCATTTGTTACTCTTTGAACATTCACGTTGTTTCTGATTTTTTCTTTTTTTTTTACTGGGACGAATATCTTGTATACACATCCTTGGACAGATCTTTAATGATGCTTGTAGAAGAAGTTTCTGGAAGTGGTATTTGTGGGTCAAAGGGCGTGTCTATAGGGCTGTTGCTATATATCGTCAACGTTCCTTCCAGAAAGATTGCACCAATTTTATGCTGCCATGGTGTATGCCATCTTCCAGGTCCAAAGTGGTATTATCATCAGCAAAACAGAAGTATTTCTGATCTGGCTGGTGAATCTGTTTTACATTTAATCTCTTCAGTTACTGATTACAGTGAATTTCTTTTTCATGTCCTTATTGGACATTTGTATTTCTTTCTCCCTTAATACCTGCTCATTTCCTTTGCTCATTTTTCTGCTAGCTTCAGAGTGGGTTCTCTAACTCAGAAATAGGCAGAAATTTCCTCAGATTCTGTATTTAAAGGGAAGAGACGCACAAGCGGTAGAGTTGAGCTGCAGGGAAGGCTGTGAGGAGACTGGGATTAGCCGCTACAGCATGCCACGGACAGCCAGACGCCAGCCTGGGACCTCTAGCTGGGCCAGACTGGAAGCCTAGGGCTGGGCCCGTGGTTATGAAAAGAACAGTCATTTAAGCCGAGTGAGGTTTCCTGAAGAGGCACTGCAGCCCCTTCAACCTTTTTTTTTTTTTTTTTTTAACTTTTCACTTTGAAATAATTGTAGATTCCGAGAAAGTTAACAAAGACAAGACAGAGGGGTCCTGGGTACCCTTCATCCTATCTCACTGATGCATGATTATGGCACCATATCCAAGCCCACAGAGTGATGATATTGCAATGTGTGCGTGTGGTTCGGTGTCATTTTGCCATATGTAGGGTCATGTAACCACCACCACCGTCAAGACCCAGATTTCCTCCATCACCACAAAGACCCCCTTTGTGCTGCCCTGTGATAGTCACACTGACCCCTGGAGGAATCCCCACCTCGCCCCTCGTCCGTCCTCCATCTCGATAACTTCGTTATTTTGAGAATGGGCTAGAAATAAAGCTGTATGGTGTGTGGGCTTTTGAGATTGGTTCTTTCACTCTGCGCAATGCCCTTAACATCCATCCAAACTGTTGTGTGGATCCGAAGTGTGTTCCTATTTTTGCTAAGTAGTGTTCCACCCTTCAACTTTTTAACTTCCTTTTGGTGTGTGTGTGTGTGTGTGTGTGTGTGTGTGTGTGTGTGTGTGTGTGTGTGTGTGTGTGTGT